CACAAGAGTCCCGACATGGGACTACCCATTGGGACACCTTTCTTTTGTTTGTACGCTACCCCATTGAATGCAAAAAAAGATTGGTAGCACATCAAATCCGCTAGCTTATTTAAGTCCTCCATGTACGCTGATAATCCTGGATTATGTTGTACCGTAAACTCAACAAGAGCATTGAAACAAGATGTTAGATTCATGGAAGGGTACATGCTTTCAAAATCCATTATCGTTCTTAATTCATCATTCATTAATCAGTTTAATCCAGATAAAGACAAACTGGTTTTTAGGTAATTTAACTTTAACACTTCATAAAGTCCACTATACAATTTTACTTGATTCAGTATAGTGAGAAATAGTGTTTGGGATGAAATAGTTTTGTACTTTTGACACGAGAAATTACATTTCTTATGAAGATATTACTTTTTATTGAAATAAATAACTTTACACTTGGACTTCATGAGAAAACGACAAAGCTGGCTTGCATGCAGTTTACATAAATAAAACGTTTAGTCTTCTGCTACACGACAGAGGGCGCCTTGTCATATTTTTTCTTTTTGTTATCACACTTCCCCCAAAAGAAAAAATAAGACTTGCTTAATGATCAGGGCCGGATTAACTCACTTTGGGGCCCTAGACATTTTCTTTTTCCGGGTCCCCTCCTAGCTCTTTCAATTAATAAATCTTGTTACTGTTTATTAAATTTCATACGGACACTGCAGCTGCTTTATAAAAAGTAAAAGCAAAATTATGTAACAATATTTCACAGGATTTAAGAATACATATAGTTAATATTATTCTTATCGCTATAAAGAATATTCGAAATTATTGTGAGTTTTACTTTCAATAAAAAGAAACATAAGAATACGAGGGTCGTTCAAAAAGTTCCCGAACTTTATTTATTACAAAAAAAAAATACTTCACATACAATTTATTTGTTAGGGTCCCCTTTAAAGTAGTCTCCTCCGCAACATATACATTTATTTCAACGGTGTTTCCACTTTTTGAAACATCTTGGAACGCTTTTTCCGGAATGCTGATAAGTTCCTCCGTCGTTTTTTTCTATCTCTGGAATGGTGGCAAATCTTTTTTCTTTGAGCGTGTTTTTTAGTTTGTTGGAGAACAGGAAAAAGTCGCATGGGGCCAGGTCAGGTGAGTAGGGTGGGTGGGGAAGCACAGCGGTCTTGTTTTTGTCCAAAAACTCGTGTTCTGAGGGACAAATGAGCCGGCGCGTTGTCGTGGTGAAAAAACCACTCGCCGCTCCTCCAAAGTTCGGGCCGTTTTCGCCTGATTTTGTCTCTTAGGCGTTTCATAACACCAGGTAGTACTCCGTGTTGACTGTCTGGCCTGTAGGTAGGTATTCGTGATGCACAACCCCCTTTGCATCGAAAAAACAGTCAACATCACCTTAATATTTGAGCGAACTTGTCGAGCTGTTTTGGGGCGGGGCTGTTTCACCCACCCGTGGAAAGTTTCCGTGAAGGATTTTCCGAGTTTCACACAGAATTTCACAGAACAATGCTGTTCTTTCAAAGAGCTGATTTTCGCCGAACCCCAAAAACACCACTTCACATAAACGGCCGTAGCTAATCACCAAAACAAGATATCAACAAATGGGTTGAAGGAGGTTACTCGGGGGTTTACGCGGACACAACTCCTCCAAGCGGATTAAAAAATAACAAACTGGAGGTGCGCTATTCAAAAAGTTCGGGAACTTTTTGAACAACCCACGTACATTTTCTTTAGATTTTAGAATTCACAATAACCATATAAAAAGAAATATATTTTTGTTTATTTGTTTATTATATACTGTTATTTACAAATCTTTTCAAAATAGACAGTTTGACCGGGCCCTTCTAAAAACCGGGCCCTAGACATTTGTCTCATTTGTCTATGCGATGATCCGGCCCTGTTAATGATTATATGGTTACAATCTTCGTAAACTAATATTTTCTCTTAGCAAATCAAATCGAACACGTTCAATTGGCTTCGTCAACAGATCGGCCAATTGGATCTTTTCGTCGATGTGCTCCAATTTGAGTTCACCATTTAAAAATCTTTTACTACATAAAAGTGTCGAACCTCGATATGTTTGGACCGTTGATGAAATTCCAGATTCTTTGCTAGCTTTATGTCACCTGTGTTGTCAATATAAAGCGTTGGGGCTGCTCTGGCATTTCAATCAATTCAGATAATAAACGTTGTAGTCAAATTAATTCTTTTGCTCCTTCACTTGCTGACATAATCTCTGCTTCAGTTATGGAAGTTGCCACTACTTTTTGTAATTGACTAGTTCATGATATACAGTACCACCACCCGATAATTTCGCGATGATTCCAGTTGTTGAACGTCTTGTCTTCTTGTCATCAGCGAAATCAGAATCACTAGATTTTCAGTTGTTTATTATAAATGATGCCTCAGTTCATAGTACCTTTCAAGTACCGAAATATACGTTTTACCCGCTTCCAATTTTGAACAGTTAGTTTCCCTGTAGTTCGAGAAGCTTTATTCACTGCAAAAGCGATATCTGGACGAGGCGCTGTTGTAAGATACATGAGATAGCCCACTGCCTCGCGATATGGTATATCAGATGACACTGCCGTCGAGATTACTTTCTTCACAGCCAACAGGGGTTGAGACTGCATTTGATTCAGCCATTTGGAATTTTTCTAATATTCATTTTGTGTAATTTTCTTGACTTACTGTAATTGCTCCATTTTCATATTGTTTTATTTTCATCCAAAGAAAATAATCGAGAGACCCGTCGTCACATTAAATTCTTGTTGCAGAGCTCTCAAAAAATCGGCGATCTCTCTTTTGTCGCTGCCACAATTAGATAGATCATCATCTACTCTACATAAATTGCGATTATTCTGGTTTCGATAATAAAACCCTCTTATTATTTTTGATCAATATTTTATTATATTTATTATTTTTATTTTTCATTTTTATTTCAGTTTTACTTGTTTTACCCCACTTTTTAATAATTAGTTATCGCAGTAGTCACTATAATGATATTTTTAGATAATTCTTTTTGAAATTTTTGTGAGTTACGCGTATGTTAAATATAAATAATTAGTAAATACAATCTCTAATTTCTTACATAGTTTTACTGATATAAGGACCGACGAGGGGCATAAAACCCGAAATGCACATCCATTGTAAAATATAGAAAATAAAAATTATTTTTCATGAAGGGGAATGTTCCTGTATTTGTTTTCAATAGCAATTTTATACTAAGTTCCAGAGAACACACCACTACTGTAATTGAGAGAACAGCAAACGATCAAGTACTGTATATTGTTCATTCATGTCCGAACTCAGATATATATATGTATATATATATTTTTTTTTTTTTTATCATTCTTCGATCATTTCAATAGTACTACACCATTCTGTTCCCTTTGAAAAAATCGTACACAACTGCTTTTACAATTGACTCTTATAAATAATTCTCGCCATGGTCAAAAATGGAAGTTTGTAGTAAAATGAAACTTTTCATTGTAGGAGGAAAATATTGTCAATGAAGACTTTTATTTTGTTCACAAAATGCTGTGAGTTCAGAAATTAAATGTTCTTTGTGATTATTTTAAATTTTTTAAAATTACTTAATTTTCAACATAAAGTTTTTCTTTTTAAAAAATCAATTTTTCAAAAATATTTCCTCAAAATTGATGAAAAAACTTCATGGGTTAATTGTACATAAATAACCCCCGTTTTTTGCCTGGACCGCATTTTATCAGAGACAAAGCTTTTATTCGTATTCTTTATTTATTTTCTATGCATTTCGGGTGCAATATTTTCTTGTAATTTGCACCCCTCTTCAGGATTTTTACATTTCTATAAATTTGGTAAATTTAATTATTACATCGGTAAATTACTACAATAGTTATACAATGGTTAACTAACCTGTTTTAAGTTTTAGATCGACATCTGCCCAGTGTTGATGTTATGTCCCCTAAGGCATTTTTAGACCGTTTCCCCCTCTTTTTGTTTTCTTTCCCTTTAGCTCCTCCCATTT